GTGCATCCAAACATGTTTAGAGTGCATCCAAACATTTTTAGAGTGCGTCGAAGCATATTTAGAGTGTGTCGAAACATGTTTAGAGTTCATCTAAAGATGTTTAAAGTGCGTCCAAAGACGTTTAGAGTGCGTCCAAACACATCTAGTGCCTCCAAGCACGTTTGGAGTGCATCCTAACATGTTTAGAGTGCGTCGATACATGTTTAGAGTGCAACAAAAGATGTTTAGAGTTCGTCAAAACACGTTTATAGTGCGTCGAAACATACTTAGAGTGCATCAAAACACGTTTAGAGTGCGTCGAAATATACTTAGAGTGCATGTTTAGAGTGCGTCGAAACATGTTTAGAGTTCGTCTAAACATGTTTAGAGTGCGTCAAATACGTTTAGAGTGCGTCCAAACATTTTTAGAGTGCATCCAAACATGTTTAGGGTGCATCGAAACATTTTTAGAGTACGTCAAAATATGATTTAGAGTGCGTCGAAACATGTTTAGAGTGCAACAAAAGATGTTTAGAGTGCGTCGAAGTTCCAAGATCGATAGATTTCCCGATAGGCGGTGGGTGGGTTCCCTAAACCCCTAAACAACCCGCAAACGGAACCTAAGCAAGCGTTCGAGATGAACGGTATTAAACCCCGAGTGAACCTGGTTTAGAAACGTAGGGTGATCGAAGACGCCACAAGTGTTGTGCGGAATCAACACTTGATAAGTCAAGGTTGAACTGTTGAATATAACGATCATACAAGAAGAAATTTGATGAATGCTCTCATGTGCACATATATGACGTTGCATGTGTTGCATGCTAATCATAAATGAAACAAAGGTGGCTTCCTTCCATAACACGTGAACAAAGGACTTGAAGATTACATGGCTGATTGCATATATTATGGAGATATTTGGATGGTGATATGGCAAGACATATGGCGTGAAGGAGAAGAATTAAATCGACAACACATCAATCATTTATGGGAGACATAGAAGACTTTCCGTATGCATGCACGCGACAATATCTTGCCTTATCTTTAGATCCTTAGCCGTTTATTTTGATTCTAAAGTTATTTTATTTCTTTTCTTATACATATTGTGTTGCTAATAATCATCAATCCATTGTATATAAATTCTGGGTATTTGTACAGATTAATACAAGACGAATAAGGGAGTCAGTCCCCTTTGCATCATTCTCCACTCTTTTCTCTTATTCTTCTTTTTTTTTATATAGAACAAATACTCATTCGAATCATAAAATCTTCATGGTATCATAGCACTAAGATCTAGAGTGCCAAATTTTTTTTCTTCCGCTGCAAACACCACAAAAGTTTTAATCGAAATGCATATTCCCTCTCGGTAAAATTCTAAACCGAAGAGGAGCCAGCTTCTTTCAGTTTTCTTCTTTATTTGTGGTGCTATTTTTGGTAAAGAGGACAACATCATTTTTACCGAAGAGGAGCCTGCTCATTTCATTTTTCAGAATTTTATTCTCCCTTTTGGTCATTCATTCAAACCAAAAGAAGAGGTTTCTTCAAGTGAATCGTTGGCCATTCATTCAAGTCACGGTTCACCATATTTTCTTGTCTCTCTTGGTCTTTTCATTTCAAATCGAGAAGAATTTTTTTTTTTGGTCATATCTCATTCTCACTATAATATGTGTGAGTATTGTGATAGTGATTGTGAGTATGAAGAGGTTTATGAAGAACCAGAATACAGAGAGCATTGGGATGTTGAAGATGTCTTAGCCAAAATACCCAACTCGCTAAGAGAGACGTTGGTGCAAAACGCCAGTACACACAATATTGAGTTAAGTGTTTCTCTACTTGAAGATTTATTTCGAACTAACGAATTTTTTGAAATGATGCAAAAAGCACAGGTTGAAAGTAAAGAAAAATTATCTCAAGATGTTGAAGAGCCTTCCTTACACGAAGAAGGTCTAGAGAACATCGAGTACATGGTTGTTCCAATGGTTGAAGAGATACACACCATGACCATAGATCATGACAAGAAGAATGGGTCGGATGATGAATCCTTGGATGAAGAAATGAGTCCAATGGATGTGATGATGAATGACTTAACCACGGAGGACAAGAGTCCAGAAAAAGAGGCATCACACACATCCACAATTATCCTTCATCCGAGCATACAAAGACATCCGAGCATCTCTTTCATCAAATGGCAAAATAATCGAGTTTGTAATCTTTTCTTTTTCCCTATCCCTTTAAAAATTTGTTTTTCAAATGATATGCTTGGTTTTGTTAGTGTTTTTGGACAGAAACAACACAAAATAATCCTAAAGATTTGTGGTGTCGAGAAGTTCACGAGTGAGGGGGAATGGCATGATACACTCGTATCATTCTCTACCGAAGAAGATATATCCGATCACAACTTGATGGCATTACCTACGAGTTTTAACAACTCTTGGTTTGGTAAAAATATTCTCAACCCTTATATTCTTTATCTTAGAAAACATATTCATGAGTTGCATATCGAAAAACAAAACATAATTGTCCTAAACACTCTTGATCATGTAAAAGATATAAACAATTTGTTTCTAGAGTTTAATAAACATTTGAGTGATATTTTTAGTATAAATATAAAACCATACATTAATTTCACTCGCCAAATGGCATTCCATGTTTCAAAATCATTAAATTTAGCATTTATCCACATTAGAATATTATTCTTACTCTTGTTCGATGAAAGTCACATTGTTGCACGTTTATACTCGGTTCTTCGTATCAAACGGAGTGCAACAGCCTCCCTTGCGATTTCTAATAATTTTATTGAGTTTATACAGAAGATGAAACAGAAAAGGACATATGCTATGGTGGATAAGCTAAAGGAACCGGCATGGGAAACAATCACTCACTTGATGGGAACCGGCTCGAACATGAAGACATCCTCGACAAGATCGGCTTTTCGACATTCCTCCAAGCCAATCTTGAGGGGGAATGTTGAATATAACGATCATACAAGAAGAAATTTGATGAATGCTCTCATGTGCACATATATGACGTTGCATGTGTTGCATGCTAATCATAAATGAAACAAAGGTGGCTTCCTTCCATAACACGTGAACAAAGGACTTGAAGATTACATGGCTGATTGCATATATTATGGAGATATTTGGATGGTGATATGGCAAGACATATGGCGTGAAGGAGAAGAATTAAATCGACAACACATCAATCATTTATGGGAGACATAGAAGACTTTCCGTATGCATGCACGCGACAATATCTTGCCTTATCTTTAGATCCTTAGCCGTTTATTTTGATTCTAAAGTTATTTTATTTCTTTTCTTATACATATTGTGTTGCTAATAATCATCAATCCATTGTATATAAATTCTGGGTATTTGTACAGATTAATACAAGACGAATAAGGGAGTCAGTCCCCTTTGCATCATTCTCCACTCTTTTCTCTTATTCTTCTTTTTTTTATATAGAACAAATACTCATTCGAATCATAAAATCTTCATGAACGCCACGGATGAAGATCCGATAAGTTCAAAAATTAGTTCTAGAAGAACTCTAAGAGAAACCTCTCAAAATATATTTCAAAGTTGTGTTTTTAAAATCTGATTTTGATCTCTATTTATAGAGATTAATACATGAAACTTAGCAAAAACTAAAATAAATAAGCTCAAAAATCAAGGTGTGAATGTGTGGTCTTCAAAAAGTCTTCAATGTGATTGTGTGGAACTTCAAGAAAACCATAATGGTGACTTTGTGATCTTCAAGATGGTGTTGGAAAGACATCTTGACCAGAATTGATGTCAATTTTCGTCACCCTTATTGGGCCTAAAATTTGGGCTTCACTTTTGGGTCTTTCAAGCTTGATATCATGTGGATAATGGGCTGGGCTTGTTGTTGGACCAACCCAACACATTCTTCCAAGTGTTCTTGACTCAAACAAGGGAGAATAAGGCCATTTGATGCAGCTTGTAGCTTCTTGGCACGAGATCTTTTAATCGGTCCAATTGGCTCAACGCTTTCTCCCGCTATGTTCATCCCGTAGCTAGCTTCCGATGCAGCTCATCCTTGCATGAGTTCAACTCCAATGGTGTTGCCTTGGATGTCCACATCATTCTCCTCTTCTTGAGAAAGATTTGTCCTCAAATCTGAATCGTCTGCGATAAAAGGAGATAGATCAGCAACATTGAATGTTGAACTAACATTAAACTCACTCGGAAGCTCGAGTTGGTAAGCGTTGTTGTTAATCTTTTTAAGAACTTTGAAAGGGCCAACTCCCCTGGGCATCAACTTTGATTTCCTCTGATTAGGAAATCTCTCTTTGCGCATGTGCACCCAAACCATGTCTCCCGGTTCGAATACAACTTCTTTCCGCCCTTTGTTTGCTTGCTTGGCGTATTGCCGGGTCTTTTCTTCAATGTGCAACCTCGTCTTTTCATGAATCTGTTTCACAAACTCAGCTTTTCTCTTCCCATCAAGGTTAGAATGTTCATCGAATGGCAAAGGAGACAAGTCCAAAGGAGTCAAAGGATTAAAGCCATAAACGATTTCAAATGGAGAAAATTTCGTAGCCGAGTGCACAGATCGATTATATGCAAACTCAAGATGAGGCAAACAATCTTCCCATGATTTCAAGTTCTTTTTCACAAGAGAACGAAACAAAGTAGACAATATATGATTAACAACTTCAGTTTGTCCATCGGTTTGCGGGTGGCATGTAGTTGAGAACAAGAGCTTAGTTCCTAGCTTAGACCACAATGTTTTCCAAAAGTAACTCCAGAATTTCGCATCACGGTCTGAAACTATAGTCCTAGGCATGCCATGCAAACGTACAATATCCTTGAAGAACAATGAAGCTATATGAGATGCATCATCGGTTTTATGACATGAAATGAAATGAGCCATCTTTGAAAACCTATCAACCACAACAAATATTGAATCCCTTCCAGTTCTGGTCCTAGGCAAACCAAGCACGAAATCCATAGAAGTATCAGTCCAGGGATGACTAGGAATTGGCAATGGAGAGTACAAACTGTGTGGTTGAAGTCTAGACTTCGCCTTTTTGCAAACAATGCATCTTGCACAGATTCGTTCGACATCTCGTTTCAAGTGTGGCCAATAGAAATGTTCCTGCAAAACAATCAAGGTTTTGGCCACTCCGAAGTGCCCCATTAGACCACCACTATGTGCTTCCCTAACCAACAAATCACGCAAAGAACAATGAGGAATGCACAACTTGTTTTTTCGGAACAAAAACCCATCATGTATGAAATATTCACCACAAGCAGATTTCTCACATGCTTTAAAAACATCTCCAAAATCGAGATCAGAAGCATACAATTCCTTAATGAACTCAAAGCCAAGCAATTTCGAGTCAAGAGAAACAAGCAGGTTATGACGACGAGATAAAGCATCAGCCACAACATTCTCTTTTCCTTGCTTATAGCGAATAACATAAGGAAATGTTTCAATGAACTCAACCCATTTAGCATGTCGTTTGTTCAACCTTTGCTGACCTTTTAGATGTTTCAAAGCCTCATGGTCGGTATGAATGATGAATTCCTTCGGCCAAAGATAGTGCTGCCATGTTTGAAGCGCCCTCACCAAAGCATAAAGCTCTTTGTCATAAGTGGGATAGTTTAGTTGCGCTCCACTTAGCTTCTCACTGAAATAAGCTATTGGCTTTCCTTCCTGCATCAAAACAGCTCCAATACCTACACCAGAAGCATCACATTCTACCTCGAAAGCTTTAGAAAAATCAGGTAGAGACAAGAGTGGAGAATTAGTGAGTTTTTCTTTCAGAAGTTGAAAAGCAGCTTCTTGTGCATCTCCCCACTTAAACCCGACATTCTTCTTGATAACTTCTGTAAGTGGTGCAGCTATGGTGCTAAAGTCCTTAACAAACCTCCTGTAAAAACTTGCAAGTCCATGAAAACTCCTCACATCACCAACTGTCCTCGGACATGGCCAATCCCTTATGGCTGCGATCTTCTCTTCATCGACATGAATTCCCTGCTCACTAACCACAAACCCTAAAAATACCAATTTGTTAGTGCAAAACGTGCATTTCTTGAGGTTAGCAAACAATTGCTCCTTTCGCAGAACATCCAAGACAGATTTAATGTGTTCAACATGTTCAACAAGGTTCTTGCTATATATCAGGATATCATCAAAATACACAACCACGAAACGTCCTAGAAAATGTCTAAGAACGTGATTCATCAGCCTCATAAACGTGCTAGGTGCATTTGTTAAGCCAAAAGCCATAACCAACCATTCATAAAACCCATGCTTTGTTTTAAATGCGGTTTTCCACTCATCACCTTCTTTCATGCGTATTTGATGATAGCCACTTCTCAAATCAACCTTAGAAAAGAATTTTGAACCATGCAACTCATCCAACATGTCATCAAGTCTCGGAATAGGATGGCGATACTTTACCGTGATTTGGTTGACTGCACGAAAATCAACACACATTCGCCACGTACCATCTTTCTTTGGTACAAGAATCACCGGCACGGCACATGGTGACATGCTTTCTCGGACGTGTCCCTTCTCCATCAGATCCGAAATTTGCCTCTGAAGCTCTTTGGTTTCCTCGGGATTGGTTCTGTAGGCTGCCTTGTTTGGAATACTTGCACCGGGAATGAAATCGATTTGATGCTCGATTCCTCGTA